TTTAATGAAAGGAGCCATTTTCTGTATTTAATTATGCTACTGTTCCATTATTTTCTTTTCTGGTGGCAGGTGTGTATGAAAAAAAGCCTACGTCAGTTTCTATTGTTCAATCAAATTTTATATTTCGGATTCCGTCTAAAAATGATTTTACACCTATTTTTCTCTATGAAGCATCACTGTATGCTTTGGGGTTTTTGGGGGACTTGTTAAACATATTGTCACATCCGGCATTTTCTGAACTTGCATGCGTGTGATTTCATTTTCCATGTATGTCGTTCTTGGATATGATAAATCGTTGTTTTATCCCTCCCTTCACTTTGCTCTGCCATGTGATACGACCTGCATCTGTAGATTTCACTTTTAAGATGTCAAACTTGTTGGGGTTTTTTGTAGAAAATCCTTCTCTACCCTTTTCATTCATCCATGGCTTGAGAACTCTCGGTACCATTATCTGTGGTGTCATGGTTATGCTCTCTGTCGTCGAATGTTGAAGACATGAGTTTCATACCTGTGTGGGGAATCCATTTCATAGAGCATCTCCATCTGTCTTGGATGTTGTATCTAGCTTGGCTCGATTTGTAACATATTTAATTATCCAAACTGATTTTTGGTAACAATTTTCTGCCAAATTTTTTGTGAAGCAATAAGAATTTACCATCTGGTTTGTAATTTCTTTATTTTTCAAGAACTGCTGAGTAAAACAGCCATATGATGTGTAATGGTAAGGTCTTTTGTTTAGCATCTGAAAGTGTACCCGTGTGGGGAAGATGTTTTGTCAGGTATCTGTCTTTCTCCTGGGATATATCCTACTCAACCTAGACTGACTCTGGCAGATAGGGTCCAAGCTGCCTACTTCAAAAATGATTTTGTGTGTTTCTTTAGCGCTGAAAAACTTGCAACACACAGTCAATAAGAAAGACAGTCTTTGTCCGTTTATTTTTCGGTACAAATCCCTGATTTATTCCGGTTTAATACAGGGTGTCATTTTTTGCTGTTGATTAGAAAAAACTTGGATTTCTAAAGAATGGTTATTCCCACTCGTTTCTTCTGTTCTGTCTAAGAGACAAAGAATAGAATTACCTGATTTTAAAGAGGTGGACTTTCATTTGTATCGTCAAGTGAAGTATTCAAACCCTCCTGTGTGTTTGCATTTATTTGCTCACAATTTACAGTATTCCATTCAGAGTTTTTCTCGATTGGTAAGTATATTGTTGGCTACATGAATTATCATTTTTTTAGCTGATCATCATGTAAAAGAGTAACATTGTTTCATTTATTTTATTCTGTATAGAGTTTGCCCACATTATGATTTGTTGAAGATGAAGGTCATTTTAATGTTTTCCCGAAGAATTCTTTGCTTTTCTGCTTCAACTTTGTATCCTTCTCAGCCAAGGTTGACCCGCCTTCAAAATGATCGAAATTAAAATATGTGTATGCGAGAGTAAAAAATACTTACATTTAAAATGAAGTTCTCAAAAGATTATGGCAACTAGCATCTTTTGTGTAATGGTATTGGCTGTTCGAGGTCCATGCTGTTTATTTGTACGATTCCAAAATGAGAGTGGGGTTTCTTTGTTTTTTTGTTTGTTTTGGATTTTTTTTGCGGGGGGAGGGGAGGGAGTGTGATGTGTTCCTTCTCTGTGTTAGAGTGCTGTATCCCACATAGTTTGGGTTGGACTCTGAAAGGCGAGTTTGAAGCAATGTGCATCCTAACCAATTTAGATTGAGTTAGTGGGGCCGTAAAACAGATACATAGGTTGTGTTTTTATCAAGTATCTCTGTCTTTCTGCTGGGACGTATCCCTCTCTAACTGGGTTGACTTTCCCATGGAGGGCCAAAGCCCGCCTCCTAAATTGTCAAATTGTGTGGATTGGGGCGTAAAACACCTAACCTGTAAAAACAAAAGGATGAGCTGTTAGTTCTTGATGTTGAGATATTGATGCCAAGTGATACCGCACACCCCACGGCCTACTTTTCAATTTCTACAAAGTTGTTTCTGTGCATACATTTCATTAGAGCGAGCGATTTGTCAGTAACCCTTGTTTTGGTTGTTTGTTTGTTTGTCTTGCCATTTTTACCACGTAATGCTGATGTTCTTGGGTATAGACCTTGTTCAGGTTGTGACTCTGATCATTTTAGTTTCTATCTTTTCTTCAGTTTTGTGAAGGATGTATAGTCCATGTGCCTTGCCTGTAGCCTATGAACTTCTTGTAATAAAAGACTAGCATCCTGTATTGTCTAAGGTGTGTTGAGTTATGGGTTGTTGTTGTTTTATAGAAGTTTACAAATTGTTGTTGCTGCTGTTGTTGTTTTTTATCAGCGTTAACGAGTTTTTGTTGTTTTATCAGCATTTATAAGTTGTTGTTTTTGTTTCATCAGCATTTATAAGTTGTTGTTTTTGTTTCATCAGCATTTATAAGTTGTTGTTTTTGTTTTATCAGCATTTATAAGTTGTTGTTTTTGTTTTATCAGTGTTAACGAGTTGTTGTTGTTGTTTTATCAGTGTTAACGAGTTGTTGTTGTTGTTGTTTTTACATGTATTGTTGTTGTTTTATCAGCATTAATGAGTTGTTGTAGTTTTATCAGGGGTTTTGATGTGTTGTTGTTGTTGTTGTTGTTTTAATTAGGGTTTATGAGTTGGTTGTTGTTGTTGTTGTTGCTGTTGTTTTATCAGCGTTAATGAGTTGATGTTATTTTATCAGGTTTACCAGTTGTTATTTTGTCAGGGTTTACCAGTTATTGTTGTTGTTGTATTATCAGAGTTTACAAGTTGTTTTTGTTATTGTTGCTGTTGTTGTTTTAATTAGGGTTTATGAGTTGGTTGTTGTTTTTGTTGTTGTTGTTATTGATGATGATGTTGTTGTTGCTGTTTTTTATCAGGGTTTGCGAGTTGTTTGTACATGTTGTTGTTGTTATTGTTGTTCTTGCTTTATCAGGGTTTACTAATTGTTGGTTGTTGTTTTATCAGGAGTTGCTGTTCTCTTAGAATCTCTGTGAGTCTTTTTGTTTTTGTTTTGTTTTTGTAAAGTGTTTTACAGCGCTCGCAACTGCATAGGTCATATGAGCGCGCGGGACACACCTAATATTTTCAGTTGGTAGGAAATTTTGAATTTTGCCCGGATGGCGGCCGAAGCCTACTCTTATCGAATTTAGACCACCAAGGGATCTTTAACGTGCGCAACTTGCACACGGGCCCTCCGAGATTTTTCGCCCTTGTCCGAGAAGGCTAGGTGTAGATCTTTCCTACCAGAAGATCAGGGGTGTGGCAGAAAGACAGCAGTAAGGAGGAGCCAAGGAGTAGCAGTAGAAAGGCTGCAAAAAGAGTCCGGAGCCCAGAGGAGGGGGCAAAGGAGGTGAGGGGGTGGGGGCAGAAAGTGGAAATGAAAGCAGACAACAGAACATTGCTAGAGAGCAGGAAAGGAGGTGAAAAGAGACAATTTTAGAGAAGAAAATGTTTCGGTCGCTACCCGGATTCGAACCCGGGACCTTTGAATGAAAGGCCAACACCTTAACCTCTAGGCCATGAGAGCCCCCAGTGAGTCTTTGAGTTCGAAGGGAATCCATTGTATGTCCTACTTCTTTTATTTCCATCTGTAAGAGAACATTTGGTGTAGGTCCTCCTTCTTTTTGTGACTTTTGTTGTTTCTTCTTATTACTACATTTATGAATTTATGGTTGTTGTCTTATCGTTTCGATGGCTTTCTCTTACTCTTACGCAAACCCAGTGGCGGTGGGTGTACCGCTTCGGCTGGTTCCACTCCTTTACCACAAAATAACAAGCAATAAGAAAAAAACAGTGGTGGTTTTCCTATACTCACGACGAGCCACGGCATTTTGAGAACCATTCAAACGAGAAGAGTTACTTTTGTCTTCCATCTCTTTGTTTTAAGTTAAATTCTTCTGGATGGTGGGGACGAAGCCGTTTCACCTCCAAATTTGTTCTAAATTCATCTGGTTCGACGTGATTATTGTTAAATCTCAGCCGCACAAACGCAAGCATGCACAAACAGCACTCCAAACATATTCCGTCGATAAGGCTGTGTATTCGAGAAAAGTAGAACGCACCTAACTAAGGTCCAGTGAGCGCATAGGTATATGTTTCACTGGGGGAAAGTGTGTCTTAAACTACCACCCCATTGCCAAGGCTAGGAGAGCGTGAGCCCTCAGTACAGTGTTCTTTTTTCAAACCTTCTACCTTTTTACAAGAAGCGTTTCAGTACAGAAGGGCCGTGGGAACGGGCTCGTGCTTTGCTGAGCCCTAAAGACATTTGATTGGCTATTAGGTTGTAAGCGGTGACGACAGTGATTGGATAAACGAGCAAGCCGACAGTTTGATCACTCTATGGTCATTGCCTGCGATCATAACGGTTTCAACTGCTTATTTCGTCACCTAAGAAAATTCCATTTACTTTGGGATAGAGTTGGGGATGGGGAGAGGGGCTCAAGCCCATAAGCCCTTCACCACCCTCCGCCACCGCACAAACCTGTAAAAAAACAAAAAACCTCATGGATGATTGGCGAATGCTCTGGTGTGGCTTTCTGTTTCTTTCCTTCTATCTAACATCTATCTTCCCTACTTCTCCTCCTCCTTTTTTGCGTTTGTTACTCTCTTGCAACACATCTAATAGGCCAACATGTATTTGGCATTTGTATGGCCTAATTGTGATGCAGGTGCCGTAAAACTCTTTCGTAAACTAAACAACAACAACAAAATAGGACAGCCTATTTGAAGAAAAAATTTATTTCCAATAGCTTGTTATGTATGTCCTCCATGTCAAACGAAAAGGGTCGTCAGATTGGATTGTTCCATCCCATGCTTCTTTCTTTTTCACTTTTTGTTTATCCCCTTTTCCGTCTCTCTCTCTCTCTCTCTCTCTCTCTCTCTCTCTCTCTCTCCCTCTCTCCCTCTGTGTGTGTGTGTCTCTCTCTCTCTCTTGCTCTCTCTCTGTCTCTCATATATAATATAATATGTATGTATCATAATGTTGTATGTATGTGTATGTCTCTATGTAGGCCCCTATATGTACATTTGTCTGTACTCGTCAGCTGGTCCGAGTCTCCTTAGGCTGGTTTCTTCGTAAGCTCGGTGAAGAAGGTGATCCCACATTTCACGTAGCACTGTATGCTGCAGTACAACAACACAATAGGGCAAAGAATTAGGGCTGGAAAAACGACAGTGAGGGAAACCATTGTATAATGAGGGAAAATATGTCACAAGATACCAGGGTGAGTCAAAACGTAATGCAAGTTCGTTTATAACTTAAAGAAAAAAGAACATACTTGCAACTATGATACCTCAAATTGAAGAGGAGCATCTGAGGATTAGATTTTTATTTCTCAACGTAGTCTCCATTTCGTTTAATAGCCAATGTCCACCTTTTACTTAGTCCACCTATGCTAGCTTCGTTAAACTAAGCAAGCTGGACGAAGGGTTAGAGCAGTCCTGATTTCTCCATCGTTTCAATAGTGTTGACCTCTCAATGGCTCTTTTTGAGGACCGAAAAGGTGGATGTCTAAAGGAGCTAAATCAGGAGAATAAGTCGGATTGGGCAGTGTTTTCCACATAAACGGGGGTGATTATTTCCCTTGTTCTGGCACTCGAATGTCGACGTGCATTGTCAAGGTGAAAAAAACACTCTTTCCATCTTAAAATTTGGTCGGAATCGTCGAATTCTTGCTTTCCGTCGTTTCAATGTAGGGTCTATGCGATTGTGCGGCCGCGTAATTCTGCACATTTGCATAATTTAGGATTCCCCGCGTTTTTTCACGTTTTTTCCCTTTTTTAAAACAAAATAATTAATTTTATTAATTAACGCCTCGCCATGTGATTAAAGGGAAATAATCGCCGTAATAAGTCTTATTTAAGTGAAAAGTTGGTTATCTCCCTTGGTAGAAGATCTTGGTTATGGTTTGGGATTTTGTTCCTTAAGCATGTTCAATTTTTCAATCCATCAAAAGTTGTTGTTCTCATGTCTGCTGATGCTTCATGTTTGACAGGTGTTCCTGGTTTTAGTAATGTGCCAGCATCAGAGGTCCAGATGTCCTTTTTTTAAAATACATTTTTCTTTCCCAGATCTAGATCTACAGCTAAAAGTTACAGAGATTATATTTTTTATTTCTATTTTTATTTTTTTTTACAGATGTGTATTGTTTTCTTTCCAAATACACTACAAATTACTGATACTGATATGTTCTGTTTTAAATTTTTCTGTACATAAAACATAAAAGTCATGAAAATTTGTGTTGAAAAAGTGCAAAACATGTCGCGAAAGGTGTTACGGTAACTTGCATAATTTTTGCATAATTTGGCTTTTTTGTGCATAATTTGGCCATCTAAATTCGCATAATTGTACGGGGACAGTAGGGTTCAGAATTGACAAAGTTACTCCTCGTGGTAAAAAAAAATCTGTGAGAAGCACCCTATGAACGTCCCAAAACACAATAATTGCCATGATTTTTCTGGCTGACTCCTCTGGACGACGCTTGTCTGATAAGCGTATGGACACGTCTTCCTGTTCTTCCAGTTCATTGCACATACGTCCTGACCCACCTATATACAGTGCCAAAATCTAGAGCTTGGTCCTTGTAAACATTTTGAAGCCAGTTTTGGATGTTATCAGTGGATTCTCCTTCTAAAACAAGGAATTCAATCACGGCTCTTTACCTCTGACCACAGAATTCTACACTAAGTGTAGAATTCTGTGCCTCTGACAGACCTCCAAGAGGGTAGCCATTTTGATTTTGATGTGACGTCATTCGGGCGAAAATTGAAGAAACTTAAATTTTAACAATTTGAGTTCAAAAGTATATAAGCAAGTACCTGTGAGCTAAATGTAATTAAATTTGAAGCTAAATTGTGCAAAATAATGAACAGCTTGCATTACTTTATGACTCGTAAAAGAAAAAAAAATAAGGATACTTTTTTTTTTAGTAGAGGTTTTACGGTACTCACAACTGCACAAGGTCTTAGCGCCAAGGGATGGATGTCAACAGAGAAGTCTTTACATGGAATCAGGCTTACTCTGCTCACCTCCCTAACTTCAACAGCACAAAGTCTATTTCGACTTTCAAGGCATCCCGGAAATAACGGGTCACAAGAGTGTGACAAACATACAAAAGAAGTAGAGGCAAAATGACAATAGTAAGAATTAGGAAAGAAAAAGCAGCAGTTCCCTGTTGTAGACCAGCACAGTTATAAGCGTGACATTGATGAATCAGCCCATTTACAATTGTGCATGAACGAGAACTGCCCCCCCCCCCTTTGGGAATGGCCAAAAGACACTTCAGTCAGTGGCACCGCTCCGGGGGGGGGGGGGTATACCTACTTTAAAACGGTACAAGAAGAAGAAGAAGAAAAATAATAGATAGATGGATAGATAGATAGATAGATAGATAGATAGATAGATAGATAGATAGATAGATAGATAGATAGATAGATAGAGCACAAATCCTCACTCAACGGCAAGCTCTATGCGCTTTACAATGCACACTATTACCTCAGTAGATCTGATAGCATTCTGGAACAATCTCAATTTCCTGGGAAGCATACGGTGCAAGCTGCCACTTATAGGCGCTGATACGCTAGATACGCTAATAAACTAACAAGGATCTTTCGCTGACTATAGCTGGGTACTCATAACTTACTTTCACAAGACGCTACGGTAAGAAAAACAATGTTTGATTGCAAGATCCCATTACCTGGAGAGAGTGCAAGAAAGCAATATCATTATTTACAAACCTTATTACAGGTACCTTGAAATGCTACAGGAAAATAATGTAGGCCTACAATAAAATTACATCTAGGCAGCTCGGGAAAATAACGCCCTGATACCACCGAACGTTACAGGGAAACGGGGGAAATCAATCTTCTTCCTAATTTTTAAAAAATTGAGTTGATGGTGGCGTACAATTTTTCTTGAAAATACTTTCTTTGGTTTATTCTTGTTGTTGTTACTGTCGCTGCTGCTGTCGTTGTTGTAGTAGTAGTAGTAGTAGTAGTAGTAGTAGTAGTAGTAGTAGTAGTAGTAGTAGTAGTAGTAGTAGTAGTAGTAGTAGTAGTAGTAGTAGTTGTTGTTGTTGTTATTGTTGTTGTTGTTGTTATTGTTGTTGTTGATGATGATGTTGTTGTTATGCTAACCTGCAGACAGGAATGAATCCCAAGATGCCCGTGGGTTTGGGGCACTTGCCAATGCATTCAGATAGACAGTGTGTGTGTGTGTGTGTGTGTGTGTGTGTGTGTGCGTGTGCAGAGCCTACGGGTTTCGGGGGAGAAACACAGTCAGTAATGATTTCTCTGCGGCGCCTATATACGACCCCTAAAATTGTTGGTGTTGTTGCTGTTGCTGTTATTGTCGTTATTGTTGTTGTTGTTATTTTTGTTGTCGTTGTTGTTTTTATGCTGCTGCTGTTGTTGTTGTTATTGCTGCTGTTGCTGCTGCTGCTGTTGTTGTTGGTGCAGCAGCAGTAGCCGCAGGGTCTGGTTTCAATCTTACGCAAGCCGGCACCACAAAATGGCTTAATTGGTGTGGCAATACATATCCCGTTGGCGGTATCGCAAGCCTTTGCGAACTGAGCATTGCACTTGTCTTCGGCTTCGTCACCGACTGCTCCGGCCACAAGCAATGCAAGTACCAGGTCTGAGGAAATGGAAAAAGATAAGCAGTTAATCATAATTATTAATGATGAAAAAAAAAAGTTAACTATGGTAGATATATAACAGTGGTGAAGATATTGATGATAATGTTAACAATTTAATAGTCTAATAGGTCAATAGTAATGATAATGATGATGATGATGATGATGATGATGATGATGATGATCCTGGCGAAGCCCAGTAATAAACATTCAAATACTCAAGTCTCCATCAATTTGTTAGCTTTTTAAAAATTATCGTGGTTAGAACAACGACGACGATGACAACGAAGACGACGACGACGACGACGATGATGATAATGATGATGATGATGATGATGATGATGATGATGATGATGATGATGATGATGATGATGATGATGATGATACATTTCATTGAGCTAGGGGTGCAGCCATTGTGCCAACAATAGCCATTTCTTAGATAAGTGGTGACTTGTAGGCTGCCATTACACAGAAGAAATGTACAGTGTATTAGTAATATATATATATATATATATATATATATATACACCATCCCTCTCTCGACACCATGATATATTATATAATTATGTATGCCAGTTTATGCTAGTCCCAAGCCTAGTAAAACGCAGAGGAAAATTTAATCTTTGGACAATTTTGGTATTGGCAAAGATAGTACATTGGTTATCGGCAATACATTGGTAATCCAAAATATCGATATCTCTAAAAAGTAGTATATGCGACTCTAATGGTGCTAATAGTGCCCAAAGATAGTACATAATTATGTACTATCTTGTAGTGCCTGGCTTTGATACCTTGTTAAGGATAGCATTGCTTTTGCACCACCTCCGAGTTATTGCAAAGTTTTGTTTGCTCAGTACCCGGTTTAGAGAAATGTGACGAAAAAATGTATGAGTTTCACAATCCCTCAAGCTTTTTCGAATACAATTCTTTGGAATACCTTGATAACGTCTCCGAATAATCTTACGAGTTTATAAAAGTAGATAGAACGTCTAATTTCTGTTGCTATTTAATTTTTTTTATGTAGGCACGTTGTGCTGGATGGTATGTTGGTAATCGCATGAGACGTCCGAACCAGTTGATTCTTTGGTGTTGGATGTGATGCATGACATCATTTGAGCCCACCATTTCTCTGACTACTTAGTTTCTAATTTTACATCGCCTGGTCTTGTTTACTGCATTTCTAAGGCATCGCATTTCACATGTAATTCTTTGCTCCAATGTCTTGATCGTGGTCCATATGTTTGGCATTGATAGGTGAGTGTTGGGGTGAGTATCATTTAGAGTTTTGTTGTCATGGGGATGTAAGGATGTTTGAGTAGTGGAGCAAGTTGGAAACTAACATTATTGGCCTATTGTACACGTGTTTCAATTTCTCTGACCTGTTGCCCATCCTCTGTGAATAATAATATACTTCCGAGGTACTTAAATTCTTGGACCTGTCTGAGACTGTTGTTGTTGATGTGTATCCTGAGCGGTCTTGGATTTCTGCGTACTTTCATTGTCTCTGTTTTGTTGATGTTGATCTTCATGACGTAGTTGTTGCATTCCTCGTTTATTCTGGTGGTGTGGTGTTGGAGACTTCGTTAATCTTTGTGTGCCAGGCTTTGGTAGTCAGCGAAGAGTAATTCATTTAGGGCGTCTGGTTCTGTGTTGGCCTCTTGTGTAATTCTATCCATATATAGTATAAATAATAGTGGTGATAGGACACAACCTTGTCTTACTCCGGATGTTATCTCGAACAGATCTGTGAGTCCCTCTGACGTTCTTACTGTAGGCCTACATATGCTGTTCTCGTAAATGGAACGGATGTTATCTAGAAGTTGGCCTCTTACGGTGTAGTTTTCGAGTTCTTTCCACAGCTTGTTTCTGTTCACTGTTCACTCTGTCAAACGCTTTCTCCTGGTCGACAAGTACTATGTTAAGTTCCTTGTTGTGTTCTATTGCCCTTTCGCACATTTGTCGTAGGGCAAATATTGCGTCAGTGCATCCTCTTCCGTTTCTAAGTCCCATTTGGGCCCTTGTTCACCCTTCCAATACCTTGGGGAACATCTTGCCCACGTGGCTTAGCAGTGAACTGCCTCTATACATTTCACAGCACTATTTTACGAATTACGTAAACTGTCTCATTTTGCAAGGTTTTAGTAGGCTACATGTACTAAAAAATACTAAGGCTTCCACTTTTTTTTTTTACTAAAAGGGTTCAAATTTCTCATGATGTCTTTATTACAACATCGCAACATTTTGTCAACATTATATAGTCTTTTTGTAAGTGGGGGGGGGGGGGGGGGGA